CCAATCATACAGAATTCAGGTTTCGATAGGGCTACTTTTATGCAAGATAATGCCCCATGTCACAAGGCAAAGGTGGTAATGAGCTACCTTAGCGAGCAAGATTTGGAAATTATGGATTGGCCACCGCAAAGTTCTGACTTAAATCCAATAGAAAATCTTTGGAAGACCTTAGGAGTGAAAGTTATGGAAAGAAATCCCACTAACACGGAGGATTTGTGGGTGAAGCTTCAAGAAGAATGGTCTAAAATTAGTATCGATGATTGTCAAGAACTGATTCGTTCTTGTAGTCGAAGATGTGCAGCTGTCATTGAGAGCAAGGGCTCATTTACTAAATATTGATTGTACATGTATTTTTATTGTTTGTTTACCGTTTACATTGTTTTTCTCAATTTTGTCCCTTACTTTTGGACGTTCCAAATTTGAAAATAAATAAATAATTGTTATAATTCTTTTTCTATCTTTTGCAAATGATTCAAATTTTAGTATGTTATTGTGGATGATAACGACTACCAGTTGTCAAAATTTCAGCTTTTCACGGTTGTTATTTCCAACAAATATTAGGTTTTAAAATTTTGTCCCTTAGTTTTGGACGCTACTGTATATATATATATATGGCATTTCGAGGCGGTTCAATGCATAGCAAGTTTGTCTCGCTAGAACAATTACGACTGAGTCGTGAGTTTGATCTTCACTGGGTGTCTCCTACTTTCGGCTTTGTGCCGCACCTAAGCTACGCTTGGAAAATCACTATATGGTACTAATGTTCCCACTAGTTCGAAAATCGTTTTCGATTATTAATTTTTCTGGACTAACAAACGTCATCAAGTGTTATTCAATAAGACACTACTAATCAACAAGGAAGTAAATTATGCCGAGAAATAAACTAAATACATTTTTCATCATTATGCTACAGATATTGAAATATTTGCATATAACTACGTACACATATACGTCCATAATGAAGACTGACTTTACCGGTGAAAATTTCACTCTACTTTTATTACACTGATTTTTAGATTAAGTTGAACGTATGTGTTGCTTGCTCGCCGTATAGATTGACGTCAGAAATAAATTTAAATGTAATTTTAATTACTCATGTGAAAATACTTTTGGCACTAAGTGGAGGAGAGGTATGAAAGATAAGATTGACTTATCCAAATATATTTACAACGACAGCTTACACCTCTAAATGTCCATTTTCGATATATATTCAATGGAAATACTCATTCTATACTCATAAGTAATTCATCGAGTCTCAACAGAATGCAGAAAGCACTGGACGGACGTTTCGTCCTATATTTGGGACTCATCAGCAGTGCGCATCCACTACCGAGATTTGAAACCCGGACAGTACCGACTGTACTAACGGGGCTTGGTGACGAAGAGGTAGCGAATCAGACTTGATATAGCGCCGCTCGATCACATATTCCGTAGTGGAACTCATCCGAGTTTCCATTAATCATAGGACTGTGCCTCCACGAGTGGAAGCGCACTGCTGATGAGTCCCAAATATAGGACGAAACGGCCATCCAGTGCTTTCTGCATTCTGTTGAGGCTTCTAGACTCGATGAATTACTTAATTGATTCTATCATTTTATAATATACAGGTAAATGTTCTAATAAATCTGCGGGAATTGCTAATAATATTTCAATTAGTCGTGAGCACCCATGTACATATAAATTATTTTTTAAATACACCTTAAAACCTTTTCATGGCAAACTTTCGCAGCTACAATAATGCGCCATCATTTGTATCCCTTGGTGCTAAAATAAATGTCACACCTGGTAGATGAACATATTGTAACAAAATGCAAGGATAAACTTATTATACTTCAATGTTCATCTTGAAACAGAACAAAGGCAATATGACACTCACTAATAAATTAAATTTGAATAAATTCAAATATAAACCGACCATCTTTTGAAACGAATAAACTTTCATTAAGTTAAATAATAAATAAATTCAAATATATAACTACAATTAAAAAAATCAGTTACAATTAAATTTAAATACGGAATCAAGTAAAACCTTTGAACAACAAGTCTTTATAGAAAGGTTAAAGTCAGTTTCGGTTTTCATTAGAATTTGACTTGATAAGGTTTAATTAAACTTTAATTAACGTAAGCTAACTTGCTCAGCAAGAGTTAAAGGCATTTAAACGGAGGATATTAGGTATATTTCAAAACCTAGATTTATACAGAGGCTCGCCTATTCGATATATTGCACGGCTAAGGTTGCCAAGTACCCTTTAAGGTCCGACTTTATACGAATAAAACCTCAAAAAATGTCATTTTTTTTTCTAGGTACGTTCGGAAACGTAAAGAAACTAAGTCGACATTACTATATGTAAATTCGCACAATAACTGCTGTTAATTCGCGTTCTTAAAAGCGTAAAATCGACGAATAGTCTATTTCCGTTGAATACTCCAGGGGTTTAGGTGTTCTGATCGGCAATAGAAATTTATAGTAACTCGATCCCCCACCTCGGGTAGTAGCCGACCTCTAAAATCCGTTTCTAACACTGCTACGGTTACGTATTCGATATATTTCACAATCGGGGGTTCCTAGTATCCCATAAGCCCATACTTTATATGGAGAAACCCTTAAGGAGGGTATTTTCTAAAGTTTGCATAAATACAAACAACGTAAAAATCGTATACGAAGATATATTGTAGCAAATTAAGGATTTAAATAATTAGACGCATGTTTAATAAAATAAAATAAATTAACAGGTTTTCGTACTTAAATAATTAAGGTCCTAAAATTAGATACTCTAAAGAAAAGCGATACATAAGTTTGAAAATGAATTTTTTAAAATTCTAAATCATTCTTTAAGCTTTTAATTTGCTTTTAACTTCAAGCTAACAGATTAACTTTAATATTTCCAATCAACAAAATTATTTGCTGCATTTGAAACCAAATTGACATTGATTGGATTGAATTTTTTTAAATCGTTAAAATTAGAAAAAATCAACTATATTAACGAATCTGTCAGCATAACATGTTTCTCTTTATTAAAAAAAATGTTTGAAAAATAAAATATACTTTACTGAAATTTAATTTGAGGTAGATTACCTGATTTAAAGTTTAATTCATCTGATTTGTAACAAATTATTACTTACCTTTAGTTTAAAATAACACAGAAAAATATGTTTTAACACAGAAGTGGGTGTTTTTATGAGGTGTTGACAACTCTCTCGATATACTTATATTTGTGAATTTTTCAGTTTGTAAAAAAAATACTTGACGAATGTTACGTGAGCGCCTTTTTTATATAATATTTTTAAACAAATTTTAGGGAAATATTCTTAGTAATCTAATATTTTATTGAATTTTATTTACTTTGGCTTTATAGTTTTCGCTTGTTGAAGAAATGTTAAAAAAATACCAATAAATTTTAAATTTACTTTAGTTACCGCTCTTATTTTCAGATAATGTTGTGTATAGACAATGATGTGTATTCATAAAAAAAATCAAAAATCCTTATAAAATACTGGGAATCGCTGAATTGTAGTAAGCTTTTTTAATTACGATTAATTAATATAGATTTTACTTAATGATAATATCGCCTAACCGCTATAAATTAATACAGAATTTTAAAACGTAAAAAAACTTTATAAATTATTATAATAAATTTTTTATGAATTTTAAAAATTCATATTCATCGAAATTTTTTTCATAAGACAAGTGTCAATAATATATCTTATTCTTAAGAGCAATCAAAAGCTTTTCTACTTCAGAGCCGATTTTCTGTAAATGAGGGGGGGGGCTGTTTTGAAAATCTGCTGATTTAAATTCTCCAAGGACTTGTGCTTATAACTAATATAAATATTAAACGCTACAATGAATTTCTCGAAATTTCATAAAATTAAATATGTGTGCGTGTGTGGTGGTTGTGGTGGGGTTAAAATATTTTGAGCAAGATTTTCTAAAAAAGAAACATTTTTAAAATAATTTAATTCATTTTTAAATAAGTCCTGAAAGTGTCATTAGAATCTAACAATTATTTGATTTTTGCAAGAATTTCTAATTTAATGTGTTTTCCATCGTAAAATGACGCTCAAGTTTGCCATACTAATTTATGTTGATCCGCTGACACAAAGAAAACAAAAATTTTAGCTAAATTTTCGAGTTTCTAAAATGGATTAAAATTATAATTTAATAATAAAAATCCTTTTTCTTTCCTCTTAATAATAACATAAAGATTTTGAAGATAAAACTATGTTTTTATTAAGATTGGGGCATTTTTTGATTATGTATGGTCATTTTTTAGCGAAATGTGATTTTATGCTAGCCCAACCACCGATAAATTCCAAATAGTTTCGTTTATCTAATTTTGCTCACAAATCTTTGGCATGGTTTTCGGGCCCTTTCCAGGGGTGTCGCGCGCTTGTAATGCCTCTATAGAGGACGGTAAGTATGATACTGAGATCCGAAGACGTATTGGGTTGGCCAAAGACGCGTATCAAAAGCTAGACAGAATATTACAAGACAGGAGGATTTCGTTGGTAACAAAAGAAAAGAGTACTAAACTGCTACGTGATATCTGTCCTCCTTTACGGCACCGAATGTTGGACGGTCTCCCCAAAGATAAAGAAGAGACTCGAGGCAACGGGGGTATGGTTCTGCAGAAGGATACGATGGACCGAACCTGTGAGCAAGGATGCGGTTTTGGAGAGGATGCAAACAAGAAGGAAGAGGCAGCTGAATTTTTTGGGACACGTAATGAGAAAGGAGGGCTTGGAGGATCTGATACTCACAGGGAAAATAGAGGGAAAGAGAGACAAAGGAAGGCAACGCGTGGCATACCTAGCAAGTAGATGGCAGAACAGGGTCTGAGAAGTAGCAAAGGGACAAAACTTATTGAGAGCTACAAGGGATAGGGAGAAGTGGAGAGCCATGATCGTCTACGTCCTGAAGGGACACGGCACATAAAAGAAAAATAAATACAAATCCGTGTCTCATCGTCGGAAAGTGAATGTTCTAAACACTCGACCAGACGTCCATATTGTTTGTTTATCTATCTATCTATCTATCTATCTATCTATCTATCTATCTATCTATCTATCTATCTATCTATCTCAAAATAAAGGACGTTTCTTTAAAACGGATCAAAGTCAACAGTAAATAAATCAGTGTTATTGGTGAAAATTTATTTATTTCTCTATTGGATCATGTTATTTACGTCAATTATGTGTGAAAAATAATATCGCCCAAATATCCGCCAAGGCTTCGACGGCACACCTTCACTCGATGGTCAAAATTTTTGATGACGTCTCTGCATAGTTGCTCCTCGATCTCACCAATATGCCTTATTATCTCATCATTCAGCTGTTGAATTGTTGTTGTCTTGTTGGCATAGACCTTACTTTTGAGATGATCCCAAAAGAAGAAATCTAAAGGCGTCAAGTCGGACAATTATGGTGGCCAATTGACTTCGCTGTTTCCAGAGATGATGCGACCTGAGAACTTCTCATTCAACTCCTGTTTGAACTTCCATTTTCGTAATAGGCTTCGATAACTTTAACACGTTGTTTGATTGTTAATCTTTCCATGGTTGAAATTGCCAAAGATTTAATTTGTTAAATCTGAAAGAAAAATTTTAAAAAAATTGATGTCCCAGTTATCTATCTTTTTACTTAGTTTTTGTTCACTACTGCAGTAGTCAGATATTGAACTCACAACTCTTTTGGATCAAGTCAGTGGATACAACCAACGCTGAATACGGCAGTAAAGATGAGGACAACAATCCGAACAATGTAAATAATTTAAATAATTACAATACATCATCTCAGAACTATAGGCAGATGGAGAAGCTTTAATAAATTAGCATTGATTACTTGCCCTTGAAAGCTTTTATCAACATTTTACTTACATGGAACATAGCAGATTAATATTATGGATTTTATGTTTCCCAAGATCACCCCCCCACCACCAAAAAAAAAAAAATGGAGGAACAGTCGACCAGGGTATTTGTGGAAGATGCTCTACCAGGATCCATTATTGGGGGTCACAATCTTAACATTATATATGCAAATGTCGCAGTCTTGATAAAAGGCAATAAGAAAACTAAAGAGACCCTTATACGTGGTAAAGGAGAGTGAGAAGAAAGAAGTAAACATCAAAGAAGACAATATAGGCTTGTCAGCAAAGGAAACAACCCAATATGCGAATTACAAATTGGAGATATCAAAATTATGTGCAAAAACATAAATATCTACAAGGTGTTTTAAGGGAGGACAGAAAATGACAGCGTCATCAGAAGTCGCATTGGGAAAATGAACGATTTGATTTGATTGATTCGTTTTCTGAGATTATAGAGTCCATATTTCAGTTGTCCAGAAAAAACAGAAAATCAGACATATTGTCACTTTGGACAGCATTAATTCGAAGATTCTGAACTCCACATTTCATTTCTTGAAGTCGAAATAAATCTGATACATTAACCATGAGTACCAGCATTGACTCAAATATTGTACAGAGCACGTTTCAGTGTTCATGACAAAAAAAAAAAAAAAAAACAACAGTAAGAGCAAAAGAAATTTGAAATATTAATCCTGCTCCTGAGCAGAAATTTTCAAATTTTAAGATTAATCAATCTTATGTTCTTTAACTGATAATCAAAACCAATATAGAAATAATTTAGTATTGCAGCTCAGACCAGACACCAGGTTCGTTCTCAAGGTGCAGCTTATTCCAGTCAAATGCTTGTGGATTAATACCAGGAAAAGAATTCTTTGGCCAGATCGTTAACCACGAAATAAAACTATAAACGAAATTGTAGCAGTCGGCAAAATTCATTCAGTTGTAACATCGTAAGGGCCGGCTTCAAGTAAGCGATGAAAGTTGAGGCAAGATGAGTGTGTAAACGCTCAACTAGCGCGTGTCTTCTTTTTAGCTTCGCGGGCGAACGGTCCTCAATTTTAGGCTGCTAGGAACCACTGTCTTATTAAGAACAAGCGTTCTTTGTCCTGTCAGCTTTGGTTTAAAACAAATCATTCATTTCCCGCTCTACTCAGCCGACCCACTTCGTCAGGGTTATTTGACATGGTTCTTGTGAGGTGTACTTCCCTTAGCTTACCTTCAATGACTGTCAAAACTGTATATCTTGTAGATGTCCTTAAAAAGACATCCCCTGATAACTGATATCGCTACAATAATCTGTCATTTTATATTGTCAAATTTTTATACTCGAATCATGGTCAACTATTAAAGAATCATTGAACGTGCCCTGACATAAATTAAATAAATTTATTTTTTTTTTAAAAAAGCAACAATGAGGACTCGTTTGATTCGAATCAACATGAAACACTTAGCCTTGTTGAATTTGGAGTCCTAGAATGGTTTAAATATTCTTTATGAATAAACAGTCGCCACTGTTAGTGATTCCTTGAAAATTCCCTTTTTATTAACTCATTACCTGACATAAGCCCAATTTGGGTATCTGTTAAAATTAAACTCACTCCCTGTCATTCTTTATATTTATATTGAATTGTTTACATACATTGCATTTGCAGAGGTATATTTTACAACACTTAGCCTTTAAAGTTTTTATTATTAGCCGTAAGACGACACTTTCTGTCGTAATTTTACAATTCACGAGTAGAAAAATAATGACTACTTTGAAAAGTATTTTTTATTATTTCTAATTGATATTTTTTTTGATGTTTTATACACATATATATTTGATGTTCTAGTTTCTATAAAAATGACAATGGTAACTACTGAAATTAAACATAGGGAATAAATAAACTCCTAAGACACTTGTCTGGGTCAAAAATGCGCATTAAAAAATTTAGCAGTTAACATCTAGCAAGTAAACCAGTGATCTTTTAGTTAAGGAATCATTTAGATATTAAATCAGCGATTCCTTATAAATGTGCAGCAGTTTCACGAATGCATCTTCAGGGGTTTTGCAAGAAATATTTTTATAAAAATGAAAATGTGCCTATATTTCTGAGACGAGGCATTGTCACTATTTACACCATTTACGCTGTTGCTCTTATCTTTATTGTCTCATCTTTATTGTCATATTCACAACGTTTCGGCCGTTGTACGCTCCAGCCTCAAACAAGTTTTTTCACTCAAACAAGTTCTTTTTTTTTAAATTCGACCGATAATATTTACCTGTTTTTTTAAAATCCCCGCCCCCAAGCAAGTCAGGAATGTCACCAGTACGCAGCGGCTACAGAGAGTGAGAGAAAAGACTGGCTATTTGGGGGGGGGGTTGAGGAAAAGATAAAAGATGAACGGGTGACAGATGGCGATTGATGTTGCATTTAAATCTTTGAAGATTGTAGTTATCAGGGGAGCAAGTAAACAGAGTTGAGTTCCACAGGCGGGAAGTGTGAGAAAAGAAACGGTTGGAGTAGAAGTGGCGGCTACATTTAGCTATTTCAACAGTGAAAGGGTGGGACCGAGATGCCAATCTAATAGCACGCTTAAATTCACGCAGTTGGGCACCAGGGAAAAAAGCGCGTCAGTGAAAATATTTGTAGAAAAGAAGCCACACCCCATTGATGAGAAAGTGACTGAAGTCAGGATCTATTACATTGCAGATCCTTCTTTAGATCTTGTCAAGAACCTCGACATGAATAGCAGGAGCACTAGACCAGATATGACAGCAATATTCAATGCACGGGCGAATGGTAGATTTGCAAATGTGCAAGATGGACTCTGACGAGAAAAAAATTCTGGCACGACACAGTGACCCAAATTTTCTTATAGAATATATTTAATTTTGATTGCATTTTTAGTCCCAATAGGCGCCCAAGGCACTAGGCCTCCCAGGGAGGACACCCGTTGGTGAAAGTTCTGGGTTAAGAGCGACGATGGCGGAATGTCACTAGTTTCGTTTTCTTTAAAGGTAAATCAAGAAATTTACCGTAGAGACACTGTGTGTGGGTTTCTGATCAATTCGGAACAAATATTTTCAGAAAAAAAGAAACAAAAAATTGTAAAAAATCATATTGACAAAGAAAATTGATTAGGAATGATGGTTGCCACGGGTTAGAATTGTAAAATCTCTTATATACATTAAACTTGACTTAGTAAAATAAAGGGCAAAATGGAAAGATATATACGAAGACTGTGAAGCCGCAGTCCTGCCTACTTTAAAGCTCAAGCCTAACTATGTAAGCAAAACCTGGAGATAAAATTTGAAGTCAGGTTCCTGAAGGCTGTCTGACGTGGCATCAAAACTCGTTTTGGCTTTTGCGACGACGACGGTGCCGTGCAGCGGCAGCCTATGCCGTTTCTTTGGACGCATTGGAAGGGTGGAGTGAGAAATCGTACTGCATGTGTAACAATCGATCTTCTCCCTACAGCCCCAAAAAGACCTGCTCAGGAGTGAAGCGATGAAGAGAATATTCCTGCAATCTCTCTATATATATAATAGGAATAAAAGTAGGAAACGTTTATGAATTTGACATGTCTCGCTTTTATTAAAGCTTCACCAGAAAATGAAATTATGGACGAGAAAGAAAAAAACCGGGTATTTTTTTTTTTGCTTTTCATTGTGTATGTAGACTTCCCTTGTATATGTCTTGTTCGTGTGTAATTATTCATGTGTATATGTGTATCATAATTCTATGCACAAATCGGTTGATAATATGTGTATATACGTGTGCGTCTAGTGGGCATTTTTATTTCTGTCTTGTAAAAGTCCATGTTGATTAGGGGAAGTTTTATGAACGAATGAGAAATATATATATGTGTGTGTGTGTGTGTGTGTGTTTATGAAATTTATATAAAATTGTTCTCTTAAATGATAATGAATTTCTTGGCTTTGATTTCAATGGAATCACATTCACTCTTCCAGAAAACTGATAGTGAAATTTCTAGTCATTTTTAGGTAATGAGTTCCGGGTGGTAATGTGCGTCTTTTCTCCCGACAAATACAGTAACCGAGTTCACTAGCCATAGTCCAATCGGGTAACCTTGAATTTTTATGTCAAGCAAAATATTTACTTAGCGACTTAGCACTAGTCTATAAACGTGAATCACATAGTGAAGATCGAATTCACTAGTAATGATCTGTGAGACCACCTTGTTAACTTTTACATCACATTTGGAAAGCAATACAGTAACA